ATGGGAACCTGGTGAATCAGGAATATGCTAACTGTGGAGTCTTAAGATCTAATGGACTATAAAAAGAGAAAGAGAAAACTCTTGAGAAAGCATTTGTACAGAAGAGTTCTCCAGCCTCTTCTGCTCACTTGGAAATGGCCTTTCTCTTGGAAAAAGAGCATCTTTGGACCCAGAAAGGTCAATTTAAAAGCCTTGCAGCAGCTTTATTTATTATTAAAAGGCAAATTTAAACCTATTCATTGTTTGGAGTAGGAGAAAAGGGAAGACACCATACCATATATGATCAAAGGCAGGTTGCATACAATGTTTCAGTCCTATACAGATATTGGATATTTTAAATACTATAGATATATTTTCTGACAGTCTCTGTCTTGATAAATGGCTTTCTTCCCAGTGTAATTCTGATTTGCACTGATTAATCCAGCTGGAAATCAGTCTGTTCTTACTGATGAAAGGTTTTCATCTACTAAAATCTGCTTTACTGATACTGGTGCTCTAGATTCACTATGAGGAGGCAAGCGCTATTGAGATCCACCTACTCCATAGGAAGTTTTCTAGGCTTAGATTTTATACTCATTTATGTATTCATATTGTTTTTGAGTCCTAGCAAAATCCTCTAAGATGGTTGAGAGTCCCCAAGTGTTTCATTTCACTAGGACAAGGAGGGGACCTAGTCCTTTGACTGGGCTTCTTAATTCTTGATGCTACTTTTGCATTGAGTTGCTTTTAAATTGTTTGAAAATAACCATAAGGATGGTAAAATGCGCTTATTGCAGTAAAGTTAGAATATTCTCAGTACTGATATGAAGGTCAAGGCCATGGTGGAATTTCTTCTAAGTAAATACTTTTGTATATGGTGTTTAACTTGCAAGTAAACAAAACTCACCATAACTGATGTGACACTATTGACATATCATGTATGCTTGACCATGATCTTGGCTTGCAGACTGCTTAATAATATTCATTATTTTAAATTAAAGTTGAAGAAGTGCAGACTCTAACTCAAATTAAGATTGGTTGTGTTGCCGGAATCAGGTAATTACTTTAATTGATCACCAGATAGTTTCCTTGATCACCAATTACACCCAATTACTGATTATGTTTCAAAATGTGAAGAAATGTCCAAACTGATTATGTAATAATGTTTTCATATATAATCAGTCTTAAATAGCTTTTCCATCCATTGCCAATTGTATTTTATAAAAGGAAAGTTACAGGCCTACAGATACAAAAGGTGATCCATAAACAATAAAGTTCTAATTTCATTTAATTAGCAAGGGAAGTATTTAGAGGGCTTAATGGAGATTGCTCTGCTGAAATTACTTCAGCAGACCTGCTTCTCATTTTAATGGTACAAAATGCATGTAACATGGAAATTTCTGGATATGTTTAAAATGGATTGTACTTGCATTATATGTATTTTGCTTGCGTACCTGTGGAAACCTAGTAGGAACAGATAATATTTCACAAAGTATTATGCAAATCAACTGTTTTATAAGATATACAAATAATTATTTCTTTGTTTATATTAAAATATTGTGAAATTATTTGAACATAGAGAGATTCCTCAAAGTTGTCATGGTAGATGAATCGAAACATAGTACTTCCTAGTTTAAATAAGATTTAAGCATGCTTAACTGTCTTTAGATTATGTCCAGTGCCCATAACATTGAGTTTCTGAAGGCAAATGGCTACTGAATATCATTCACCTCTTGGCTTGCTTTTTATGACCTTCTTGTAAGAAAGTAGGATGTCAGCACTATATGACACTGTTCTTATTGCTCTTTCTTCATACGTGTGCTTGGAAAGTATGGCATGGTACAAAACATCTTCAACCCTATGGCCAGAAGCTATGCAAGCAGATATACATGCCACAGTAAACAAACAGGAGGCTGTTCCATAGCAATCTCCTTCTTAATAGCATTAGATATGAATTAATCATTGCTGCATTTAGGACCTGAACTAGTTAGATGTTCATCCAGATATAAAGAATATTACAAACTTCTTATGTCAGGTCAGACTATTTGTCCAAAGTGTGGACTACTGGCAGAGGTTCTCTCCAGAGTCTTAAGACAGATTTGTTTCTTGTCAGCTTGTAGCTGATCATTTAGCCTGGGATGCTAAGGTTGGTCCACAGCTCTTCTATACCAAAAGTACTTGCTGTGTCATTAAGCTAGTGTCCCACCCCTAGTTAGGTATGATTAAGTCCTGATGAAACCAATGAAACCTGAATACATTTTACAAGACATTTCCTTTGCAGTTTGCCTGAAAATTTCAACAGAGGAGGCTTTTTTTTTGCCCTCATAATCAGTATGATTTGTTATTGTTGAAGGAAATGGGCTGAGGGCTACCTTGAAAGTTATCCCCTAGAATTAAACAGTACTGGTGTCATAATCTGCCCCTTTTGTAGACTGACAGTTATTTAATTTTGTACTTTTAAGACCAAAGCAGGTGAAACACAAGCAGACAAGAAAAAAATGAGGCAAAATGTCAGTGGGGAAATGAGCCTGGCAAGACTCTGGCCAAGATCCAGCACTGGATCCACTACTAGTACAAGGTGACATGCTCTGTTGTGATCCCTTCCCGCAACCTTTTGGGCCACTCCAAAGCCTGTTCTAACAGCAGCAAATCCGCGCATGCATGTGTACTCGTGGGAAGTAAGAGTTCCATGTCAACCAAGGCTGTAAAATGGTACACTTGAAGGGAAGGGAAATTAGCAAAGAGAACAGAGGAGAAGGGTGACTGACCATGGGTGAGGGAAGATAAAGAAGGGAAGTAGAAGGTTAATTGCTAATTTTATTCAGCTGCTTTAAAACACCTTGCAGAGACTTTTCCTTGAAATATAAAAATATTTAAATAAAATAGAATGCCAGACAGACTGAGGGAGAGGACAGAGAGAAACCCTCCAGGCTGCTGGTGTGACTGTTCTACCTCAGAAGCCAGTCTGGCTTTTGGTCAGTGGCCCTCTGTGAGCCTGTGTAAGTTTGAGAGGAGAAAACAGAAAAAAAGAGGAAATGGTTGCCGCTGGTTGGGAAAGAGAGAAGTTCAAGGCATGAGAAGAGTGAAAGGAGTCTGGCCCTTCTGAATGAAAAAAAATGAGAAAGGTTTTTTGAAGCGCATCAGAAAAAGAGATGTGAGAGATTATTAATCAGAATAATGTTAACAGTCTGGGAGTGGAGAAAAAGAGGTAAGACACTGCAGTAAATGTAGAATCTGTGCGAATGACGAAGAAGCTGGTAGTCTGAGATAGGATACAAGTTAGGTGTGGAAAATACAGGGGGGAAAGGTGGAAAAGATGAGTAGTACCGGGAAACACAGGGAGAAGAGAAATTTTAGAAAGCTGCCTCCACATAGAATCTCTGGATCAGCCCATTCTTCCTGAATTAGGATGACTGAGTTATGATACTGCCAGTGTTTGGAAACCTGAGGAACGCTAAATTATGGACCTGCCTACTATGAGGAAATCGCTATGTCAAAGAATTTAGCATTTCCCAAAGAGCGGGTTAGGTATAAACATAAAATGATAGTGATTGCTGAATGATTGCGGCTAACTCCATCAGCCCTCATTTTGTGACTTGGTTTTCCCCCCCCCCCGCTCCTGCACTACCATGTTTTGTTTAGTGGCCTCATCATTTTCAGCTGGTTCAGGGAGGCTTTAAGCATAACATGTTTGGGAACGGCTGCTCTAAAATATTAAATTAACATACTTTTTTTTTGCACATTTGTGTTGCAGAGTTATTAAACAGACGTATGAAGTTCTGGATAGTTTTTGCATAAATTAATGCTGAACACCAAACATAGGGCACTTGCACTTCTAGATCAATTTTACAGTGCTTTCAAACATATATTATTTTGTGGTAATGAAATGAAGGCTGTAGGCCTGTTCTTTTAGTTGACAGCAAATCTCATGTAACTCAGTAGGATGTAAATTCAAATAAAAGTGTTCAGGACAAGTTCAGGCCGTTAACCAAACAACAACTTCTAGATGGCCAAGATTCCCTGGTGTAGGAAAGCTCCTGATCTGATTGTTTTGACTGCTGACAGCTTGGTGACTTGTAAACAAAAAAAAACTGTTGGAATAATTTGTTGTGATTGTAATGACTGCGTTAATCTGATGGACAAAGTAGTTTGTAAACTCATACTTCACTGAGCCTCCAGTGGGGGAGCGAAACAAAAAATCCAGAACTATTACCGTTATACAATTTATCGGTTATATGTTTGTTTGAAATTACCATCGTATGGTTGAATATGTTTTTATGTAGACTATGTTGCACAAATACTTGCAGTACCTTTCAGTTAAGATACTGATTTAAGCATATTTTACAAAAACGTATTTGATGTTCTGTACATTCATTTCTTTTAAAACAATTTTCAAACTACAGGCTTAGTCTTATGCTGAGATCAATAATTTTGGCTTCAGTATTGGAAATAATTTACAAAGTCTAGGACACATATATGGTGTATATGTAAATAAAATTTACATCTTTGTGCAAAACAGCTGGCGTAGGATAGCAGCTAAGAACTTTTGATTTGTTTCTGGAAATATCACATCAGCCATGAACTCAGTAGGTGGTCTTAGACAAGCAAGCATTTTCTTCCTTTCATACTGCAGTGGGAGGATGATAATACTAGACCACCTTTATAGGGCTTTATTAAGCATTGTTGAAATAACAAAGCAATCTGAATGTATAAAACACTCTATAAATACATGTATACTGTATAGTAGTAGTAGTAACAGGAACTGCAGCAGCATCATTTCAGAATACCTTTGCTATTGGTCAAAAATATTAACAACCAAGTATAATTAAAGCCTCATTACTGTTTTTCATCATTACTTGTACATGAGCCCTTTTCTTGGGATTTTCTGCCTACTGTTTCTGCATGTTTTAATTGTCTTCTTCACACATTTTCCATACAGATTTTTTGAGTTTAATATAAATTAACTCATTTTAAAAGCTATTTACATATGCTAAATATCTGAATATTTCTTGCTAACACAGGCTTTTGGTTTTATGACTCGGGTTGCGCTTCAGGCTGAAAAGATGAACCATCACCCTGAGTGGTTTAATGTGTACAATAAGGTAAAGATTCCAGTAATAATTTTGGTATTTCCATTACGGCTACTGTGACATGTTGGAGTAGTTGTGAAAAAGAGAAAAGAAAAAAGAAAAAGTCAGAGTGTGTGAAGATTAAGAGAGTTTAAGTCAGATTGAGTCAGTGAGAGTAGAGTCAAGGTGTGTAAAAGAATGTATGGTTTGGGAAATTTAGGATTGATTAGCTACTGAAGATATTTATGAATCTCTGTAATCAATAAACTAAAGTTTATTTAAAAGGACCTCAAGTGTGGACCTGAATCTTTCTGAAGTAAATGGTGATTTAGAGATCACCTGGTGGCAGCAAGTGTTAAAGAGTGAGAGTGTTTGCCTTCATGTGCTCAGAGACTTGAAGGTCAAGCAAAGAGGCACAAGGGTGGATGCCACAATTGGCTGCCCATCCGTTTCCGCATTGAATTCAAAGTTCTAATGCTTACCTATAAGGCCCTAAATGGTTTAGGACCCCGATACTTGGCGGAGTGCCTGCTCCCACCAAGATCTACTCAGATCACCCGCATGAGTCAGGAGGTGAGGCTGAGGAGCCTGACGCTGAGGGAGGCCCGGAGGGAGAAGACTCGAAGCCGGGCCTTCTTGGCGGTGGCTCCTTGCCTTTGGAACAACCTTCCTCCAGAGATTTGCGAGGCCCCTACGCTGGGTAGTTTCAAATGCCAGCTGAAAACATGGATGTACATCCAGGCCTTCCCTCCTGTCAACTACTGATTTCTTTGCTTTGCTATTTATTATTTATTTATTCCTGCACTATTTGTTTTTGTTGTATGCTAATATTTTTATGTTTTCTAATTGTTTTAATATTCTGTAAGCCGCCCAGAGTGGTAGAATATACCAGATGGGCGGGATATAAATCGAACAAATAAATAAAATAAATAAAAAATAAAACAAATGTGAGTTTAGGATCAAAGTGTGATGCATTGATTTTCACATTTTTTGAGGTGCATTTCATTAGCTCAGTGGTTTAGGCACCTGACTGCAGAGACAGAGGTTGGGAATTCAGTGACTGGCTGTGCCTCCTTGACAGGGGCCGGACTCGATGATCCGCAGGGTTCTCTTTCCAGCTGTGCAGTTCTGAGATTCTAAGAATGCACAAAGTGAGTTGCCTGCCATCCCGGTCTGTTTCTAAAAATGTTTTGAGAGAGACATTGCTTCCCATGGTGTACAGGAGTATTTCTTTTGTCCTATTGTCACCTTCGATAGAAGAGGTCTTTGAAGATTTTTTTTTAAAACTATAGACATACACCCCCAGTGCCATAAGTGTTTTAATAGGGATCAAAGTAGCATGTCTGCTGACAGAGCTGTGTCCATCAGTGTCACCAGGAAGGGCACTGCGTTCTCCACCCCACAGGCACCTTCAAACTCTGTTCTGAGCAACTCAGAGAGAGGTTGGAGAGAGAGCTCTGTTGTACAAGCAGACTTCCACCCACACAATATTGAATTCAACTCTCTGCCTCTTTTTGAATGTGGAGAAAAAGAAGGCATCTGGCAATCTTGCTAGCAGGTATCTCACTTCTACTTTGGAATCAGCTGAACGTTTCTGAACCAGTTTTTAGCAGTTTTTATACATTTGGACTCAGAAACGAGGAGCAGAAAATATCTGAATGAGATTGTTAGTCTGTGTGGAAGCGGTGAAATGAAATCAGAGTCTCAATAATACAGACTAAGCATTTGAATAGTATGAGTACTTCCCACACACCCCATTCACTGTCTAAAATGTTCATCCGTGGATAAATGTTTACAATTCATCTTAAGGGTGACTTGTCTGGTTACATAAGACATAGCATTGTTTCTGATCGGCTGTGTCTCCATTGAAATGGAGATGAAGTTGTACTGGAAAACAAGACTACAAAGTAAATATATTTCTAGCTGTTCCTGGGATAGTTTTAGTATCTGACAATTAGACAAAGATCATCCAAACTTACAGGCTGTATTATTCTTCCCTGTCTCCATTTCGTCCCCTGTCTTTTTTTTGCCGACCAGAATAAGTTAGCAAAGTAGCACATGACATTCCAGTGGGAAAATGTAAATAATTTCTTGGAGGCAACTGCAGGGTTCCAATAGAATGGCCAGATTGTTTGTTTTTCCCTTCAGAAGTGACCTGCAAAGAAAAGCATTGCCAGGCATTGCCTTTTAGGATTTATGTTTTTGAGTTACACAACTTAGTATTTATATGTGTGTTACGGATGTATTTCCTTCTGAAACCAATATGTGCAACTAACTTTATTTTATTTTATTTTAATAAGAGTAATTTAATTGGACATCTTTTTTCTGGAGGCTACCCAAGAATTCCAGACCCAAAAGTGCTCTGTGTTTTGTGCTGCAGTATTGTTTGGTTAGTCTCCAAGTTCTCTCAAGGCTGTTCACCTGACAGCTGTGTTCTGGGATGCCTGTTATTTGAAAAAAGCAGTGCCATTCCAATTTACAATCAACAGTGTTTTTTTTTAATACGGTGCTTGTAAATATACGAATCAAAATGTATGTGAAAGAGGATTTCAGACTGAACGTGGATCTGGATGGTCTACATTGGAACATACTAGATAGTGAACTGTCATTTTTTTCTTTCTCTTTTGTTAACAGGTCCAGATCACTCTCATTTCCCATGACTGTGGTGGATTGACGAAGCGAGATGTCAAGTTGGCTCAGTTTATTGACAAAGCTTCTGCATGTGTTTAACTGGGTGCTGAAATAATCTCAAAGCAACATTGCCTTCAAATGTTTCCTTTTGAACTGTATGCAGACATTTATTATTTCTTTTAAAGACAATTGCCTTCAAACTCTCTGATTTCAGGGGCTGAAATACTTATCTACCTATTAGGGAAATTCCTTGGGCAGACTAGATATGCTGCCTAAATAAGACTGGGATGTTCCAAATTCCCATCATCTATATCCTTTGGCACTGAAAATGTCTTCCTTTGCTTTACCTCTGCTCAGTTATGATCACTATTTCATCAGTAATTCCCAGAGAAAATAATCTCCCTTCACCAGTGACCTGGGCTTGAGAAGTAGGATCAAGCTCTACCCTCACCTGTCAGGGTTTGTGCTTGTGCTTTGAATCATATAGACCAAGGCTGGGCAACTTTTGCCATTCCAAGTGTTTTGGATCTCAGCTACCAGAAGCCTTTCCCAGTGCAGTCAATGAAAAATAAATAGGGTGCTGTAGTCCAAAATATTTAGAGGTCAAAGGTCTTGCATCTTCTGTCTCTACCTTTTTGCTTATAAAGCCACATATGTTATGGACCTCTCAGAGCCTGTGTAGGGTTTGAGGTCTTGGCAGGATGCTCCTCTGTCAGGCCTTTATTTAGGTAGGCCTTGTGCATTTAAATGTTGAGGGAAAATGAGAGATTCGTCTAGTCAGATGTCAGACTTCATTATTTGCTTTTAATTGCTTTTAACATACAGGATAGGAATCCTGTATAAATATCTGTATCTGATGGGATTGGATTGCAGTCCATGGAAGTTCCTCCCATACAAGTCTTGGTAGTCTACAACAGTGGTTCCCAACCTTGGGTCCCAGATGTTTTTGGACTACAGCTCCCAGAAATCCTGGCCAGCACAGCTGGTAGTGAAGGCTTCTGGGAGTTTTAGTCTAAGAACATCTGGAGACCCAAAGTTGGGAACCACTGGTCCACCAAAAGACATATCATTATTGTTACTGCAACTGAAGAATGTGGCTGTCATCATCACAATAAAATGGGAAGTAGCATAATTCAGCACAACAGCAGCTCGTCATTCTCACTCCATCCTAAAATATGCTCCTGAGGGTTAGGGAAGCCACTGGAGGAGCGTGCACTGTGGCAAGAGATGAAATTGGTGAGTATTCCCTCCCCATGTGTAAACAAACATTCTTTCTATTCACGCAGAAGGCTCTTTGGATGGCAGCCATTATAGTTGAGCAGCTATCCTTAATTGTGTATATAAAAGCCACATTACATTCTTTGAAACCACAGTAGTTCATTAACATAAAGAAATTTTGGCACAATCCTGTTTAAAGTTAATTTCATTTAAATCATATTAATTTCAGATGTTTTAAGTTGTGCTGTGGGCTGGGATTTACTCCAAGCAGAATTTCCTGCTGTCTTGCTACCTCAGATCCAAGTCTGGCTATAACTAGGGAAGTGAAGGAGTCTTGGATCGAGGAACCTCACATCTCATTATAATTCTGCCACCAGCCTGTTTAGACAAAGTATATCACCACAGGCCACCCAAAGGCACAATCTAGAACAGGTTATGAAAAAACAGGAGCAGGTTAGGCAGCTTACCAAGCAAGAACCAGAAGATTAAAAACAGAATTATTTGTTCGGAATGATCACACACAAAATAAAAACAGAAATATATAATTATTGAAACAGAAGACTTGCACAGCATGAGGGGCATCTTAGGATATATATTTCTTTCACCTACAGACATGTATGTAGAGTAAGTAATTCGGGGTAATTCTTAAAAGACTGATCCTGAGGGTGGGGGGAAATTAAGAAGCTTCTTTTATTCCCCTGCACAGAAGGAAAGTATTTGTGAAACAATCTCATTTGCTGGGTGCCATATGTAATTGAACCTAACTAGATATGCCAGGAGTTAGATAAGATGTGCTATTGAAGAACATGCAGCACTACTTACAGGGAGACTCTCAGGGCCATGTCAAGAGGCTTGTGCTGAGTAGCTGTCATTGTGAAATTGGAGAGTTAAAGCAGACTCAGATTTAACAAGCAAGCAGAAAGATAAAGACTGCTGGGCCAGGTCTTAGGGGAGAAAGAATTATACATAGGCTGAAATCCTCTTGGTGGAGCCATGAGTGCAACTTGGGTGATGTTGTCAGCTGCTGCCATTTTGGGTCAATAAAAGACATCCTACTCCTGCAGCTCCGCTTCTCGGGATCCTATCCTGGGATGCCTTTAAGAGCCAGCCTAAAAAAGTTGTTTAACTTCTGCATCCTAAACTCTATTCTGCCACCTGTTGCTCTTATCATTTAATGAACATTAAATGTGGCCTTGGCTAGGAATGTGTGCTGCTATTGTACTCCTTTCCTTTTATTTGGTACTTGGAAAATTTCAAGTACCAAATAATCTTTTTCTTAGATAATACCTCTTAACCCTTTTAACATTCCAAAGGCAAGGCCCTAGAAGTGGAGAGATTGCCACTGTTTCTATTTTAATGATGAAATTTAGAACCAGGGATAAATTGAGGGTTGGGATAAATTGAGGGTTTCAAATGATCCTCAGTTTGACATTGCTGTGTTACTAGTCCCTGCTTTTCCAACACCACTCTCTTTGCTTGATGCAGAGAGGCGTCTTTGCCAGCAGCTATCCCAAGCCCCACAGAATGAAGAGGTATGCTCTCCTTAATAAGCCCTCTTATTTCTGAACTGGTTGGATTTTTTTCTTTGTTCCTTTTTAATAGTTTGAAGCATGGCAGGTGGAGATTGCTGACAGAGTCTATGATGTGTGGGAGAGTATATAATGTAAGATCTTACAAAAAATTACTTGAGGAATACAGAAGCCTTCTAAGGGGCCAGATGCTGTAGGAGCATATCATTGGAAGACATTCATAAAATGTGCAGTTCCCCACACCATAGAGGAGAAGGAGCTGAAAACAAAGAGGTTTTACGCTCTTGCCAAAAGGGTGTGCATTTATTGCTGACAGAAGAGGCAGTAAAGTGCCCTGGAAAAGCTAGTGTCTTCATTTGCTGTGAAATTTGTTTTTCTGCAGCAGGAAATCCACAGAAATAGCTGCAAAACAGAAATTTGAAGCAGAGGAGATGTTAGAAAGTGGCAATAACACTGTGCCCAGCATTGTTATCAAATCGGCCCCAAAGGTTGTCCCATCAAACAGAAGCAAATATCAGCCTATAACTTCTTTCTCCTTCCCCTGGTAGGTGCTTCATGTGTTTCTGGGTAAAAACATAGCGGAGAAAAATAGCAAACTTTCTGGTAAGCAAACAAATAAGAAGCAGCAACGTCACATCAAGAGATGAATAATGGAAAAGAAGCCAAAACATTTGCAAACGTGACCCCAAGATACGTAGCGTTTGCAGAGTCCTGTAATCTGCTTTCACTTTGGGCCACCTGCAGTGGGTCCAAGCTGCGTGAGGTGCACAAAACAAGTCTCAAGAGTTGTGAAATATATCTGCCGTTATCAACAGTAAACAATGCAATCTTATGCATGTTTAACTTAGAGATGGCAGAGATAGCTGTGTATTTTCTTTTGTGTATGCAGTGATGGAAAGACCTCAGCTCTGTCACAAGCTGTGCAACAGGTGGACATGAGACCAAGTTGCCTCAACTGCAGCTTGCCATTGGTCCTAAGCTTGGAGATGTACACAGCAAAGAACATCTAGTAGCTGACCAGTGCTAGTAGGAAAAGACAAGATTAGACATTCCCACTGCTGCTCTGAGGAATGGAAACTGCAGTTGCCATGAAGAGACAAAACTCAGGTTCTTGTTTGTGGCCTCTGTGAATCACATTTAGGGTGATTCGTGCATGTGCAGTCTCCTTGGAATATTCTAGAGCTTCTGGATGAGTAAGCATAGCACGTTAGCATAGGCCCTGCCCTCCCTCCTATAAGTACCCTGGGGTCAAATCCCTCTCCTCAGTTCCCATCAACCACCACTACATCCGAAGGTGTGACAGAATAATATGTTCGGCTGCAGGGGACAGGGGATGGCAAGATGATTCTTCCCGCATGGCTGCTGAGTGGCCTTGTTGTTTAGTCGTGTCCGACTCTTCGTGACCCCATGGACCAGAGCACTCCAGGCCCTCCTGTCTTCCACTGCCTTCCAGAGTTTGGTCAAATTCATGTTGGTAGCTTCGATGACACTGTCCAGCCATCTCGTCCTCTGTCGTCCCCTTCTCCTCCTGCCTTCACACTTTCCTAACATCAAGGTTTTTTCCAAGGAGTCTTCTCTTCTCATGAGATGGCCAAAGTACTGGAGCCTCAGCTTCAGGATCTGTCCTTCCAGTGAGCACTCAGGGTTGATTTCCTTCAGAATGGATAGGTTTGTTCTCCTTGCAGTCCAGGGGACTCTCAAGAGCCTCCTCCAGCACCACAATTCAAAAGCATCAATTCTTCGGCGGTCAGCTTTCTTTATGGTCCAGCTCTCACTTCCATACATCACTACATCACTGAGTGGCTAGCCGAGCACAGAAACATCTGAGCTCCTGGTGCCATTGGCAGGAAGAGCGGGACTTTCACAGCACCAGGATGTATGAGTGGACAGTCCGATCCTGGGGGCTGGACCCTCATTAAGGTCCAGTTGGGACGGGAATATTCATATTCGTTTATAAATACGAATATCCCCATCTCCATTTGCTGTAAGTCAGAGGTGACATGATGGCACATAAAAACAGGCAACCTGTCACCCTCCAGATATTTGGACCACAAAGGTCCTGATTTCTAACCATTAGTCATGCTGTCTGACGCTTATGGGATTTTTAACCTTGCAGCAACCAAACGGCATCATGTCGCTTATCACTGCTCTTACACTAAGATGCCTATTTTCAGAAACTCTTGGTGATTCAAAGGTAAAGGGCATTTCCTCAGGAAGTTTTGTCTAGGAAGGAAGCACAGGTACTGGCTTTATGGGCTTTTCTGGCTTATTCTCTCTGTCCCCACCCCCCACCGCATGGTTAAATTGGGATCTCCCAGGAGAGCTTTCCACCATTTCCTCAGGAAGTTTTGTCTAGGAAGGAAGCACAGGTACTGGCTTTATGGGCTTTTTCTTTCGAGACTGAAGGATGCCTAACTAAACTAAGGTGATTCAAAGGTAAAGGGATTTCCCTACACGTTTTCAGCTTGAATGTCTAAGTGTTCATATGTATATCGACCAGTGCACGTGAGTAAGTGCTACAAGATGATGCTTATGATGCAATAGAATAACATAATATCTTAGGAAATAAATACAATCCTAGGCTTCTTTACTGGAAGGTAAGTCCCATTGTAGCCCTATTCCTGCTGGATAAGGTGAGCCAAGACTGCCGTATGTACAAAGTCTCAATATCAGCAATCCCAATAACATAGTTTCCTCTTCAGCCTTTATGTCTTCAGTATGAAGGACTGAAATGGGTATGCAGGAGTTTTCTTGGGCTACCAATTTTATGGAGAAATTTATGCAGGCTTGAGTACATTCTGACAACCATTTGAGATCACCTGAAAAGTTGACTGTGCACCAGAGACTTCTGAGGCAATGTCTGGGTGCAGTGGAGCTTAATTGTTTGTTAAAAAGTGTTTTAAGGATTGTAGTTCGGGGTAAAGAGAGAATTTATTTCTGATAAGTTTCTCTGTGCTAAATTCGGAGCAGATTGGATAAGTACTTCTAAAGATCTAATTTCTGCTTTTAAAAACCATTCCTATCCTGCTCCGTGATTGTGGGTTGAGTTTTTTTTAAAACCATTGTATGTATGCTTTCCCCTCCCCCCCCCCAGTGAAGAGCCTTTGAGGTGATTTAAAATTTCATTTATTAAAATCACTGTTTTTGTCTCTCAATCTCTCCTACTTCCTCTCCAATTTGGTTTGTCCTTTACTTGCCTCAGTTTTACCCTTCTTGGGCTCAGCAGCACCCAAGTCTGATGAGGTTGTCTAGTCTGCTCTCATTGAGATACTCTGGACCAGCAAATATGATAATTATATTGCTGGTGTAGGGAAAGGAAATATGCCCACTCTATCTAGCCGTCATAAACAAGGCTGGGCAAGTAGATTGAGTGGATCTGTTGAGAAGGATTCCAGAAGATGTCAAAGGCAGGGGGCCTGACATCAGCAGTAGTGCAAAGTATACACCCCAAAGTATATCCACAGCCATTACAGATAAACATTTGCAGAGGACCTGAGCTAGACACCCGAAGAGCATCTTAGCTGGAATCTAAAACATTATTTCAGGCACACCTAAAGCTACCCTGCTTCATAGTAGCCAGTTGGTGGAAGTTGCTTCTGTCACAAAGGCAGCTTGATGTGTGATATCAAGTGCTTCTTCTGGGAAATGCCAATGCTCTTTGAAACAGATGATACTAGTTTTGTGGTTGCTTGGATGCTACCATGTTCACAAGTGGGAATTAACATTCTATCCAAAACACAATTATGCTAAAATACCCATTTTGAATTGATCTTGCAACTGCAAGCAAATGTGCTAAAGATTTTTTTTGATTTATTTAGATCCAGAATGTTAGCACAATTTTCCTGTTTCTCCTGTGTTTCTCCTTCAATAGTTTCCTGACAATTTTGCCTTGTATATTTGTTTTTAAATGGGAAGGAATAGTAATTCAAAATTTTACATGTGTCATTCTACTCAATGGTGATGAAAACATGATAATAGAAGACGAAGAGAAGGCAGAAGTGCTCAGTTCCTATTTTAGCTCAGTCTTTCCCCAAAGGACAGACTGTGACACTCCAGACAATTGTGGAGTACAGGTGGACAAGACAAGATTATAGCTGGAGATTGATAAAAATATAGTCAAAGAATACCTCACTACCTTGAATGAGTTCAAATCTCCAGGGCTGGATGAACTGCATCCGAGAGTATTGAAGGAGCTGGCTGAAGAGCTCACAGAACCGCTAGCCATTATTTTCTTGCAATCATGGGAAATGGGTGAGGTGCCAGATGACTGGAAGAGGGACAATGTTGCCCCTATCTTCAAAAATGGCAAAAAAGGAAGTGTCTGAGAACTACGGACCAGTCAGCCTGACATAAATCCCAGGGCAAATTCTGGAATAGATTATTAAGCAGTACTATGCAAGTACTTAGAAAACAATGCAGTAATAAGTAGAAGCCAACATGGATTTGTCAGGAACAAATCCTGCCAGAGTCATCTGATCTCATTTTTTGATCGGGTAACCTCCTCTTCCAGTGGGACATGGTGGCGGTGCAGGTTAAACTGCAGAAGCCTCTGTGCTGCAAGGTCAGAAGACCAGCACTCATAAGATCGAATCCATGTGACGGAGTGAGCTCCAATCGCTTGTCCCAGCTCCTGCCAACCTAGCAGTTTGAAAGCATGTAAAAATGCAAGTAGATAAATAGGTACCACCTCAGTGGGAAGGTAACAGTGTTCCATGTCTAGTCGTGTTGGCCATGTGACCACAGAAACTGTCTTTGGACAAACGCTGGCTCTATGGCTTGGGGACGGGGATAAGGACCACGCCCTAGAGTCGGAAATGACTGGACTAAATGTCAAGGGGAATCTTTACCTTTAATCTCCCTGATAGACAGAGGGAATATCGTAGACATAGTATATTTGACTTCAGCAAAGCATTTGACAAAGTATCCCACGATATTCTGATTAGCAAATTAACTAGGTGTACGCTAGATATAACAACTGTCAGGTGGATACATAGTTGGCTACAGAATTGTATTCAAGAGGGTGATGATTAATGGCTCCTTCTCCAACTGGGACCAGTATAATTCCATATTTTTAATAATGACCTGGATCAGGGGATACAGGGAATGTTAATTAAATTTGCAGATGACACAAAATTGGGTGGAATAGCTAACACCCTGTAAGACAAAAACAAAATTCAAAATGATTTGGATAGGCTTGAGCACTGAAAACAACAGAATGAAATCCAACAAGGATAAATGCAAAGCATTGCATTTAGGAAAAAGAAACCAAACACACAGTTACATGTATCTAGGAAAAAGAAACCAAACACACAGTTACAAGATGGAGAATACCTGGCTCAGCAATGCTACAAGCGAAAAGGATCTTAGAGTTGTAAATCACAAGCTGAATATGAGCCAAGAATGTGATGTCACTACAAAAAAGGCAAATGCTATTTTAGGCTGCATGAACAGAAGTATAGTCTTCAAATGCTTCTCAGTGCTTGTTCCCCTCCATTCAGCATTGGTTAGGCCTCATTGTGAGTATGGACATGGCACTTCAAGAAGGATGCTGACAAACTGGAACAAGTTCAGAGGAAGACAACAAGGATGATCATGGCGCTGGAAAGCAAGCCCTATGAGGGAAGACTGAAAGAACTCAGGATTTTTAACATTGAGAAAGGAAGACTGATGTGAGATATGATAGCACTTTTCAAATACATGAAAGTTCGTTGTACAGTGGAGGGCCAGGTTCTGTTCTTGATCTTCCTAGAGTGCAGGACATGCAACAATGGGCAAAAGTTACAGGAAGCCAGATTTCTGCTGGATATCACAAAACATCAACAACTTCCTAACTGTTAGAGCAGTATGGCAATGGAACCAATGACCTCGAGAGGTGGAGAGTGCTCCAATACGGGAGGCATTCAACAGAAACGTCGACAACCATCCGGCAGAGATCTTTTTATTTGTTTTCCTTCATTGAGCAGGGGGTTGGACTCGATGGCCTTGTAAGCCCCTTCCAACTTCATTCTATGATTCTGGAACTACATCTGACTTCACAATGCACATGAGGTCACACAGGGCATCCCATTCTTCTTCCATTGACTTTTCTTGTTCCAGTCTCCTGTGTTCTGTAAGGAAATATATAGATAACTGGCATTTGTGTAAGCAAAGTTTGAACATATTCTTAAGTATGGCCGCAGAGTTCACAGAAGTGAGTGTAGAACAACGACTTATTAACAAGCTGTCCCTTGAAGCTTTCAGGTCTGGCTCTGAAGTTGAAGTGAGACAGTATCTTTTTGGATACAGGTAAAGATTTACTTGGCTTCTTTTAGCAGTACTTCATATGCTGTTTATTCTTTTGAAGTTGGTTTATGAACCACATATCACCCCAATATGAGGCTGAACATTGTTTCCTAGAAGTGCGGTTAGCCACTATTGTGCCATTATTTCCTTGAAAAATTTGGTATCAGCCATGGCAAGAGAATATGGTACAGGTCTACACCAGCAATGTCCTGAACCATGTACACCAACACGAAAACACGAGGTGTGTGTTCTGTGAGATGTTCCTGTGGGCCTCTAAAGTTGAGTGTGTACTTGCTGCGGATGCCATAGAAACATAAATAATAAATTAGTGTCCAGAATCCTGTTGGAGATTTATGTGTGCAAAAGTTAAATAGCATAACTCACTATGGTGAATTGCCACTAAAAAGGTATTGGGCACATTAATAGGTGTGTACCAGTCATAAGGGACGTGGTGGCACTGCAGGTTAAACCGCAGAAGCCTCTGTGCTGCAAGGTCAGAAGACCAGCAGTCATAAGATCGAATCCACGCGACGGAGTGAGCTCCCATCGCTTGTCCCAGCTCCTGCCAACCTAGCAGTTTGAAAGCATGTAAATGCAAGTAGATAAATAGGTACCACCGGGGGGGGGGAACAGTAACGGCATTCCGTGTCTAGTGGCCACGTGACCACAGAAACTGTCTATGGACAAACGCTGGCTCTACAGCTTGAAAACGGGGATGAGCACTGCCCCCCAGAGTCAGACACGACTGGACTGAATGTCAAGGGGAATCTTTACCGACCAGTTGTACAGTTGGGAGTGTGCCTCATAACATGACTCGTTATTAGCAAATCATTGCGATGAGTTACACAATATAAATTACATATGCTTGAATCACCAGCAGGATTCTGGTTAATAAATAAAATATGTCATTCTGGAATAAACATTATACTGTACTATGTAGGTAGGTAGGAAGGTGGTGGGGGGAGAGAGAGAGAGAGGGAGAGAGGGAGAGAGATCATCCTGGGAGTTTTAGTTATTAGCCCTCCCATCCTGAAAAGATTAATGAAAATTTACCAGAGAAGGTGTCCAGGAAGAAAACAAAAGACCATTTAATAAGCATTGGTTAACAACTCTTTTTATGCTAGAAACATTTTTAAAAGATGCAATGTACATTTGTTTCAAGAAACAACTGAGTTAAAACCAAACACAAGGCTGCTTGGTCAGACTGCCTGGCATTGTTCTCAATGCTCTAGACCAGGGGTCTGTAAACATTTTACACGGAGGGCCACATAATATATTTTTTGATATTTTCGAGGGCTGAAGGAATGTGTGTGTATGCGCTCCCACCCACAGACATGCTCACCTTCATGCACACCCGCCCAACCACACACACATGCACCTGCTTGCCCACCCACCCACATAGACACCCGCATGCACACATGCACTCCTGCCCACGTGCACACAGGGGCTGGATGCAAAGACCAGGCAGGCCAGATGTGGCTTGCGGGCCATACTTTGGATCCCCCTGCTCTAGACGTTTCATCCAAAAATTAAAGCATTTGAAAGGTTTGCCCATGCATTTTGGTACATATGCACAGAAACTGATCGTACATTCTAAACTGGAGAAGAATGTTTGAAGAGAAATGTTGCTGAATTCATAATACATCCGAACACTACATGAAACATTCACTTTCCATTCTTGATAACTGTGGGTTTTGGTGATATACCACCATGACTAATACTGAATGCTCTTTCTGGATGGAAAGTTGAAACGTAGCTCTTCATATTAGTGCTATTACAAGAGTGAGGAAATAGATGTGACAGAGCTTTGCCCCTTTGCATGTTAAGGTCTATTGCTCCCACCACCCTTCAACATTCACAACGCTAATTGGAACTGATGGTAATTGGAGTCCCCCATTAAAAGCATAGGCAGTTGTTGGGAAGTATCCCATCCATCTTGATCCATGAGTTGCCACTGATTAAAAGTGATCTAAGCAGTATTAAATTGTTTTAAAATACGACTACTTTACCAGATCTTATGTTTGCATGCCCTGCACTATTGAAACTGTCCAAGCACCCTTGAAGAAAAATGCATTCTGTAACTGCTCAGAAAACCAGAGTAACTTGGAAGGGCATTTACAAATAAATATTGGATTTCCTGCAATACCAGCTGATGGGATTAAGGTGACCTCCAAGCTTTTTCTAATTCCATCGTTCTATGGAATAAGTAAATAAATCACAAGTGGGCATGTACTGGAGTCCAACATCCAGGCCTCCAGATGTTGTTGAAAAAAAAGAGGTTTGCTGCTCTTTAATTACAAGTGATATGTGTACATTTTGACCCATCTGAGGAATGCAAACATGAACTATGATTCCCTAACTGACTTGAAATTTGAACTGTCTTGCGGCTGGAACTGTGTCCAACTGATGACCCAACAAATGTTGCTTTGCTCAAAAAGATGTAACATTTCTTTGTAACTTCTTCCCACCAAAGTATCCATCCTTTCCTGGAAAGGTGGGCTGAAGGCGGATTTGGATGATTGGCAAGTTGTTGTTGTTATTTAGTTGTTAAGTCATGTCTGACTCTTTGTGATCCCATGGACCAGAGCACGCCAAGCCTTCCTGTCTTCCACTGCCTCCTGGAGCTTGGTCAAATTCATGTTGGTGGTTGGCAAGTAGATCCCCCCAAATTTCTCACTCCCAGATGTTTATCAATCTATCAGTCAGGTCCCCCACCTCCAATCCTACCTCAAAATCAGCTGTTGGAATGAAGAAGGCTTGAGAGAAAAGCAGAATGGATTTTTGGTGAAGACGTTGTGAGCTCATCAATTCTCTTACTGAAAACAAATTATTATGCTAAAACTATTCAGGTCTGCTCTTTCCATTAATTCTCTGTGTATTCAATTCTTCAGAAAGCCAGTTTATGAATGAGTGATATTATGCTTCTGTAGCCACGATTCAAAACACCAGGAAACAACTGCACAATATTATGCTTGTGTTGCCAGCAGGAAAAAGGATGCCAAGTTTTATGTAGCAAATGGCAGCTGGAATGTTGACTTCCTTTGAACAGGCCTGGTTGGGTTTGGACATCCCTTCGACTAATTTAGTTAATCAATAATGTCTCCTGTTTCACAGATTCAACTTTGTCATTTTTTTCTCTTTCCCAGGAGGAGAGACGCTGATCTATATAAATTCATTAAAATGTTATTCTTCCATCCTCTATTCAAGTCAATTATGATCAGCACCATCACACTAAATTCAATATTTTTGGCTTTAGAAACGGATTATAAAGTTCGCTATGAGTCACATTTCTTCCTAGAGGTAAATCTCAGACTAGTGATGTTGTTTTGATTACTCATTTTCTTGGATTATTCTGGAGACATTCTCTCTTTTCCAGAATAATAAAGGAGAACAAGTCAAGAAATAGAAATACTACTGTGTTTTTTGTTGTTGCTGACCAACGAATGCAGCTGGATGGAACACTGGCTTAGAAAATGTAACAACCAGAACGTTAGGGGAAGGTCCATTGAAGTACCATTAATAAAGGGCATAGCCAGTGGTAATAGATTATGAAAGCTGCTGTCCTGCAACATCTGTACTGTACCATATGCACAGGTTTTATTTCAGGGTGTGGCAGTTCCTCATTCACTGTCAAGACAAGTCCATAGTCCAGCAACAGGGCTCCTCATATATAAGCCATGTGATCTGCACAGCTGGCTTCTTGCCCTTGAAGCAGTCACCAGGATGAGACCCCATGTGGTTTAGTGGCACTTGGGAGACCTGGGTTTTCTTCCCCATTGAGCTATAAAGCTCATTGGGTGACTTTGGACAAATCATTCCCCCTCAGCCCTCGCTTACTGTATAGGGCTGTTTTCAGCATAACATGACGAGGAGGAAGACGGCCATGGACCAGTGAGCCTTGAGTTGACTGGAGGAAAGGCAGATTATAAAGGTAACTAACAAAATAACAAAGAAACCATTCATGTCATCTGATATGACCCTCTCCCTTTGATGCCACAATCAATTACCTGTAAATTGCTTCCTCATAACCAAGCTCCATTGTGTCCTTCTGTCATATTTTGATCTAACACACATCTTCCATAATACTCCACGAAGCTGGCAGAATCCATTTAGTATGACAGGGACTGCTTTCCTCCCTTGACAAATTATTTGTGGAAACCATTATCAGTGCTCTGCTCATCTGCCAAGGCTGTCTTTCTGTTTGAAGAATTCTTGTTTAACCAACCAGCTTGAACAGTATTTTGAACTTGAGATTTAAATGGACACATTGTTAATAACTCCTCACTGGTGGTTTAGTTTTCCTCTTGAGGAGCACTTATCTTCCACACACCTCAAACATCTTAACTTGCTTGAAGCCAGCTACTGTACACAAAGCTGTGGCAGGAAAGTGAAAAGAGAACCCTGGCTAATGTCAAGAAGTCCACTCTCTGCTCTAAAACCATTTTAGAAATGTATTTAATGTCATGTTTTTTGGGGGAAGAGGGGTGTTATGTTTACAAAGTAATACATATACTTTGAGCACTGAGTGTTTTGTAGTATACGTAAGTCTCCCAACTGTTCTATACTACCCAGAGAAATTATTGGCCATCTCCCGTTATGACCAACAGGGAATAATATTAAGGGTGTCTCTACTATTATATTCCATTTCTGGACCTTTTCCCTCCCCTCTATATTCTTTTAAGCACATTCTACAATAAATACTATCATGGCTGTTGTGCCTCAACATGTCAGACCAAGAAGGAATAGTTTGTCATGCAATTTACAATTTTAGTCTCCTATCTGAAATTGAAGAAGTATTACTTACTAGCATTTACATGCCACTCAGTTCCAAAGACTTAACTGGGTTGATTGAGTCATGGCCTCTGGTGATATCTGAATCCACTGTGTTGCACTCATAGATACTTTGACATCATTGTTGCAGACTATCTTACACTTGTTACAGATCCTTGGCTATGGAATCTGTCACAATTTAGCCCCTTCCAGCTCCAGTTAGTTTTGACAACCTGACTACAGTATTTGGTTTCTCAATTGAGGTCAATGTATTTGGGTAACTACACTTACTTTCAGTCCTTTCCAAATAATGGAACATATAACTAGGGACTTTCCTTTGTAGCTTCAAAAAGAGATCAGGATCCTGCAAAGGTAACCTTGAGCTGGAAGCTTTTCCAGAGCATTAAAATTATGCTATTTTAGCAATTATAACTTGTATCAAGGAGAAGACAACAAATAAAGAATTTGGAGAAAGAAAATCGGAAGCCATGCCTTGGAATCAGGTCTTTTAAGGACACATTTCATACCTTCAGAAGATCTCTTTCTGAAACAAAAAAACTGGCAATTCTGGTCCTCCAGTTGTTTTTGGATGGCCATGATCCTCCCTTCACTGGGCTATGTCATCTAGGCCTTATTGGAATTATAGTCCAACAACCTCTGGAGGGCCAAATGTTATCCACTCTGGTCTACGATACACAGGTAATTTTTAGTAGCATCTGAATATTCTTTTGCATCGCAGCAACTGAATAAATTCTTTGTAATAACACAGACATTTTCTTCCCTTTTCCAGGTAGCAGATCTGATTATTTTAGCTGTTTATACCACAGAATTTCTGATGATCTTTTATCTGGATCCCATTAATTATTGGAAAGATGGTTACAAAAGATTCGATTTTGTTGTCCTTCTAATTGCTTACCTCCCGTACACCATTGATAGAAGCAACCCCAAAATGCACCACACTGCGACTATGCTGAAAGGCTTCCAAGTGCTACGGGTTCTTAAACTTATCTACTACAGCCCAGGAATGAGGGTAAGTGGATCTGGTTTGCTAGTGCTAGAGAAAGATAATGCAGTAAAAACAACTCCACCTTTCTTTTTCTGAACAAACATCATGATTCTCCTGAACCCCACATAAGCTGCACCTGCATCATCATAATTGCAATAAGCACACTTCTTGTTTCTCAGCATTGCAGGTGCAGGGTAGACTCATGGGTTGAGCCTAAAAATTAGGAATAAAGCCTTAAAAATTCATGGGTGAAATGTCATGTTTGCAAAATTATTGGTTTTTTAATTCCAGGAAGAAAATTAGTAGCTATTGGCAATTGTTTTAAATTGGTAGGCAAAGACTTTGGAATTACTTCAGTTGCTTATATTAGTACAGGGAGGAAAATGACCTGATTTTGCCTCCAATTCCCTTAAATTTCTTGCCTTAATGTTTGGTTATTGTTGCTGCTGTTCTGTCGATCCAGGATTAAATCCTTATTTTTAATTTGAAAGGTTTCAGTTGCTAATATTAGTTGACACTTATGTTTGGAGAGTGCAGTGGCCTCGTGTTGGATTCGTGACTTTTGAGAAATAATTACTACTTTGGAGTCAGCTGGTAAGGGCAGAAGAAGAAGAAACATTTTTAAAATATAAGGAAATCCATTTATGGATGGTACTTGTGAACTATTTTTTACAGAACCTCTACAGTTGTCTTCTATGAGTGTCAGTTTCCTCAGTAAGCCGTTGTGAAGAATAAATATATCCTATTGCCTCTCTGTAGAAGGAAGTGATCTCAAAAGATCCTTCTAATTATCTGTTCTCACCCCATACCCCAAGTTCAGATCCCTTGCTTCCTGTGTTAGTATTCTGTTTTAACATCAACTGTGTAGGAAAAGCATGTGGTACAGCCCATCCTGAATTGCATTACTTCAAGCTGACAGTTTCTGTTCAAATAACTTTGTGTTACCTGGATTGTTCACTTGCTCTTGACTGATTTTGGGAGTTTGGTAGGGTCAAGCCATGTTTTCACTTGGATGGGAGACCACCAGAGAGGACCAATGATTCCCAGATAGGGCTGGGGTGGAATCCTCCATGAAACCTGGGAGAGTCACTGCTAAGGAGCGCTGACCCAATCAGTGTTAGAAGGACCAACAATTTGCTTCTGTTTAAAGCAACTTTTTAAAGAACCCCATCCTGTCTCTTTGTTTTTGGAAGACTACTTTGGTCTATTTTCCCCTCGCATACTAATTTTTTGTTTCAGAGATTTCTAATTTTTTAATATGGGAAAGGACATGCTAACCCTAAATGAGAATTGGCCTAATGTTTCATCACTAGACAAGAAAAAAAGTGCTCTCTCCCTTTAAGACTGACAACAGCACAAATCATATGTGTGTATCTATTCATAAATCCCACTGAGTTCACTGGGGCTGACTCTCCTGGAAAGACCTCCCAAACTGCAGCTTGAATGATACAGTAATGTCCCATTTCTTTCAGGCTGTATTTGCTGTACTCACTGCTGACATCTGTTGTTAGCATCAGGCAATGTTCCGAATTGTGTTAGTGTGACTCATCTGTTTAGAAATGCAGTGACTGGGATTTTGATTTTCCTATAAAGTATGAGTTTTCTGATAATGAAGCAATTTTCAGGATGTTTTTTTTTAATATTGGATTTAATTCCACTTATATAACCTACCATTGGATTTCTTAGCCAATTATATTTGATATGCAAACTGACCGATGCGAAGAGACGTCAGCCAATCATGATCACGATGACATTTCTGACACGAGCAGCTTCCATTTTGTAAAAAGGCTCGGACTCCACACCATTGGAACAAACAGGTTTGCAGGCGTGGTGTACCCTTGTTTTGTTTGAATCTTGCTTGTGACATTTGCAGAGCCAGTTTTGTGGACTCTGAGGAGCTTAGAAAAGTTACTTTTCTTTGACTGCAATTCCTGGAATCTCTGGGAATTACATCCTCAAGAAATAACTGTCCTAAATTCTGGGCTCATGTTTGGCTGAACTCACATTCTTGACATATAAATCCTAACAACGAGTTTTGCCCGAGAGGATGCCACGGTGGCCTTGATCTGCCTGACTGGCTTTTCATGAGCCTTGCCTCATATGTCTACCTACTAGGTTGGGTAATCCATGGCACAAAGAGATTGTCAGGCTAGTAGAAGAGGAAGAAAAAAAGCCTCATCCCTGAAAACCTGGGTCACCAGACTCTGACGCTGAGGGATAGGAGCCATGGCTTGGGAACAGTGTTTCTACATGTCTTTTTTAAAAATGCAAATGTATTTTTAATGCTTTTGATTTTATCGTTGACTTGTATTTTATTATTTTCATTTTCTGTTCCGTTAGATTGTATTTTAATGATGTTGTTTGTGTTTGTTGTAAACTGCCCAGAGTGGCCGTCGGCCAGATGGGTGGTGTAAAAATTACACAAACAAGCAAGCAACCAAATAAACAGAAGTCTGTGAGGACTGAGGCAATTCAGAGCATTTTGTTCCCCAAATTTTCCTGTCTCCTTGCTGCTGGACCAACAAAGTTTTATCAAAGTTTTATCAGCCTGATTAAGAACAAGCTGTGGGACGGCAGGACAATGCAGGGGCTGGGATGCAGTACTTGAAACACAGATTAGCAACCAAAGTGAACAGTCAAGACTTAGAATTCAATTCTGTAATTGTAATTTTTAACAGTAGATTCCCACTATGAAAGTTACAAGCACATCCCCCCCCCCTTTCTGGGCAGCACTGATAGCAAATACTGTCTAATATTTAGTCTCATTTCAGATGTCTTTCTTTGCATTATTTTAAACTCAAGGGTGGGTCTTTTATGTTGTTCTGTAATTGCTTTTATTTTACAGCAAACACATTGCATGGTTGTGAGGCTGGCAGCGTGTTTCCCTGTGATGTATGATAAGCTCTTGAGCATTTGCAGTTTATATGTTTACTAAATTTATAGACCAGCTTTCAGTCCTCAGGCCTCCCAGAGTAGTTTATAATAAAAACACATTAAAGCAATAGAAATGATAAAATAAACCTACTGTTGCAACAGAAGGGGTTCCCGCCCCCCCTCTCTCTCCTCCTCCACTCTGTGTTGCTCAGTTCCTTGGTCCTTTGTCAGCCTTCAGATGCTGCTGTTGTCCTACTGCAGAAAGATAAGGAGAGGTATGTGCTCCATAAAATTGGTCTAGAGCAGAAACCCACACGGTGATCTTTCCTAAGAGGAACGCCTTGACAGGATTGCCAGAGACAACCCAGTCCCAGATCTTTAGGGGCAAGTATGGCAGGAGAAGGCCAAATATTCCTCCAGGTATCCCAGTGTAGCTTTCTTACTTTACAGATTCCACAGCATGAGTGCTGTTTGTGTTACCAAGCAATAATATCACCCCTAAGGAGTGGTATTCAGTGACTATATCAAGTCAGAACAGCAGAGTCTATCTGGAATCTCACGGGTATTTCCCCCCTAAAAAAAACCCAGTCCATTTATTGATTGGATTTATATTTTCCCCTCAAAAATGGCATTCAGAATGACCAACACCTGCTCCCAGTCCCTGGGGCCTTCTGTACTGAAAGCATACCACTGAACAATGCTCCTCTGCAATTTCCTTTGATAGATAACTCTATGGGGCAAGTGTCCCAAAATGTGAATGGCCCCCCAATTAGTCCCCATTTTTCTCTGTTTTTTCTCTCTGGCCTTTAGGATGCTCCAGGAAGTTCTGAAAGGGGAATGCCCTCTTCTTTGTTTTTGTTTTTTTTAACCAAGCAGTGCCTGTTTTGTAGGAAAGAGAGCCTTTAGTCAGTGAGAGGAATAAGGCCTTTGCTGGAATGAAAATGCAGTTATTTCCATCTGCAGTGCAAATACTATCTTAAAAATAAATAACAGCATACAAATTAATCTGAGGGACTGTTATAATCTATCACAAGACTCTTAGCTGACCAATTCAACACAACCCTTTTCTGTTTGTCTATCAGTAGAAATAAAACAAGGGCTGCAGTGTTTGGTGGGAATGTGCACTTGCACAGGTTTATGCACATCCATGCATAGGCATATAAATTCTAACACAGTGAGTCCAAAGACTGTTGGCCCATGGTGTTCTCCTGACAACCGTGGAGGTTTTATTTTCCATAGGGAGCTAATGTGTGCTTTGTGGCTGTTCAGCCCCAAGTTTCTGCTTGTCATTAATTGGCTTGGGTGTTCAGCAGAAGTGGGACATTTATAGGCACAAAGCTCTTATAATGATCACTTCTGAGCCTTTATCCCACTACTTTTGATCTTGGACTTCAGTTATCACCAGGTTTTTATATGCTAATTATCCAGCATTTCTGGAAAAGAGATTGAGAAGGGGGTATATAAAACCACCAGCAGTTATAGAAGGTAAATCAAGCATTCAATTTATCTTTGCTAATAATACTAGAAGAAAGGGATGCCCCATATAACATTGGGAAGGGAACAAATTATTTAATGCGTAATTGACCCACAGAACTCACTTTTTTTCAGTACAGGAATAACATTTCTTTTATGCAGATATGAGGACATGGAAATAAATTGTTCTGAAACCGAGTTAGTATTTTGAAAAGAAACATCAAGGTTCCAAGGTTGTATGGATTTTCCTGATCCCAAATAGGGTGGGTCTTAATTTTGAGTGGACACGTTTAGGATTGCAGAGCTAACCTCCAATCTGAAATACTCGGATAGTGTAAACATACTTTCGGCTGCACTGTGAGGCTGTATGAATCCTTGAGTAGTAGACCACCCATAGTCTAGAGCTGAGTTCTTCCTGGAGGTTTAAAGATTTCCTTTTGAAGCACTGGATTCCAGCCAGGATCACAGTAATATCTCTCACATTGCATCCTTTCCCTCAAAGCCTTTGACCAGGGCAGAGCTAGAATATTAGACTTGACAGCCCTTGAGCTTAAAGTGGTGTATCATCTTCCTAGTGTTCTCGTAAGGAGAACAATTCCTGCCCCCCCCCAAACTGTACTTTGTGTTGGCAGTGAGGTTTCCCTCTCTCTCACCCACACATACTGAAGATGTGGGAG